TGTATGTATGAGCTCAAGAGGCTTTTGGGCTCTTGAACTTGACTCCCTTGGAAAGCTTTTTCTAAAATGTTTTCCGAGTAAACATCCTTCACATAATTGATCAGGGTGGTTGATGCAAGGCAGTCTTCTCACCATCTCTTTCTTTGCAAGCAAATCGAGTCCTCCAAAGTTGAGATGCCCAAATCGAAGATGCCAGAGCCAAGAAGCATCTTTATAACAGGTCTTCAGACATTTGGCAATATCATTTTGAATGTTGAGTGAGAACATTCTATTTTTAGACATTGGCACCTTAGCAATCAAGTTACCAATATTGTCTTTTAAGAAGAGAATATTTTCTTTCAAATGAATATCATATCCTTTCTCCAAGAGTTGCCCTAAACTCAAGATGTTGCTTTTCATATTTGGCACAAAGTAAACATTAAAAATAAATTAATGCTTTCCATTTTTCTGATGGATGAGAATGTTACATTTGTCTTTCACCTCTATCTTGGACTCATCTCCAAAAGACACATTGCCACTTACTGATCGCTTACTGATTCATCAAGTTGTACGAACATGCTTCGTCTCCCACACATATGGTTGCTTTCACCGGTGTCCAGGTACCATGTACTATCTTCACCTCTTTCATTGCCTTTTTTTGCTAGAGGTAGAGTGTTAAGTAGAGTGTCATCTTTTTCTCTTTTTTCTTCTATGTAGTTGATTCTTTCATTAACTTTGTACTTAGGTGATCTACATTCTTTCGCATAATGCCCGAACTTGTTATAATTATAACACTTAATTTGAGATTTATCATACCTTGAGTTTGAGCGCCCTTGATCACATCCATTTGTAGATCTTTCTCCTTTCTCATAGTTATTGTTGGTACTTCATTCTTGCTTGCTAGCATGACTTCGTCCTTGTTCACTACCTCTTCCATGTTGGCTTCTAATGTTGTTGAAGCTTTCATCTTTTTTAGTTGGTTGGAGATTCGTCTTGAGAAGTTGTTTGACAATCTCTTCATTCATCTTCTTCTTCTCTTCATGGGCTTGTAATGAGCCCAGAAGTTGTTATATCGTCATGACTTATAAGTCCTTCGTCTCTACAATAATGGTTGTGATACTATCAAATTTTGAATCTAACGATCGAATAATCTTTTTCCATGATAGCCACATCTTCTAACTTCTCACCATTTATTTTTAGTTGATTGGAATTGGTAATGACTCTAGAAAAGTAATCGGAGACCAACTCGCCTTCTTTCATATGCAAAACATCAAATTGACTTCTTAAAGTTTAAAGTCATACATTTTTAACCTTCTCTTCTCCCTTATACGAAACCTTGAGCTTCTTCCATGCTAGTTTGGCTGAATTAGCACTTGAGATCTTCTGAAAACCATCTTCATCTAAAGCTTGATAGATGAGGAAGAGAGCCTTCTTGTCTCTCTTTCGCAAGTCTCGTAAGCTATCTTTTTATGTTGTGGATAGAGCGGACTCATCGCTTGGCTCATTGTAGCTTTTCCGTAGCCTTTCTCCACAACCTCCCAAATGTCATGCACTCAAAAGTGTGCCTTCATCTTGATACTCCAATTGTCGTAGATGCTTTCCTTAAGCATCGAAACTTGGAAGGAAACCATGTCACCGTTTGCCATTACTCTATAAAGGAACCTTTAGGTTCTGATACCACTTTATTGGAATGGAGAAACTTTTAGGATATGACAAAGGCTAAAAAACTTATGGCATAAGCTTCACTATTATTTAACAGCTTTATTTTGCTTGATACAAACTCAAAGACTCCACCCCTATTTATACTAGTGACACCTCCTAAATTAATGGCTAGGATTGTGTCACCAC